AAACTGGCCAGGGCATATTAGCCTTCTTATTATTGCTTTTTGAACCCTGCCTCTTGCGCCTGATTACTAGGTTTGTACAAAATCAACTGCAAATTTTAGTCAACCAGAGAGTTGGACAATTTGTTCTAGCACAGGTAAAAGGACCCTATCGCCCCATTCCCCAAGAAGTTATCTAACAAATTCTTTTTAGGAGTCCACAATGACCCCACACCTGCATGAAGTAGACAAAGAGAAACTTTGCCCCTTTTTCCTTTTGATCATCATTATAAGATGGGAATGAAAGGGTTAATAACATTTTAAAGGGTAAAGGCAAAAGCTTGCAAAAGGCGGAAACTGAAAAATGCATTGCTTACATGACCTTTGCTCAGTCTTCTGTTAAGTACAGATTTGACCTTTGCTCAGCTTTCTGTTGAGTATGGATTATTCGGATTATCCAAAAGATGATGAATTTCCAGCAGATGCAGAACAAGATACCAGACCAGTCCAACTGCAAAGTGGACAATGGGCCATGCAGAATACGTCAGCAGGAACTGCCAGAAGCTAGAAGCAGAGTATATAACCTACACCCCAACTGTTATTTGAGGCTGACTACTTCTTTGGGTTCAGCCCACCTGCACCCAGGTGTATGCAATAAAATATTTTGCTCTACATTGGCCTTGCATCATGGATGTGATTTCCCGCTGGCTCAGACCTTTTACTTAGTGAAATTTATTCCTGTTTTATTTGTTTGCCAGTGTATAGGAATTTTTTAGCTCCAACAGTTTCATTAGCTCAAACAATTTTGAGTGTGAACTAATTTTTTCTTTATATAAGATCATGTCATCTGTGAATAGAGAGAATTGAAAGTTTAACATTTTTATTTTTTCAATTACAATTGACACTTAATATTGTTTCAGGTGTACAGCATAATGATTAGACATTTATATAACTTATAAGTGATCCCCCTAATAAGTCTAATACCCACCTGACACCATACATAGATATTACGATATTATTTACTATACTACCTATGATGTATGTTACATCCCCATAACTTTTTTTTTTTTTTTTTAGAGAGAGACAGAGAAACATTGATTTGTTGTTCCACTTATTTATGCATTCATTGGTTGATTCTTGTATGTGCCATGACCGAGGATCCAACTGGCAACCTTGGAGTATCAGGACGATGTCTTCATCATTTTTGCTTTTTAGGGAAAGGGATAGAGAGAAACATGGATGTGAGAGTGAAACATCGATCAGCTGCCTCCTGCACACTCCCTATTGGGGATCAAGACCAAAACTGAGGCCCTGACCAGGAATCAAACCAGCAACCCTTCAGTGTATGGAATGATGCCCAACCAACTGAGCCACACAGGCTAGAGCAAGCCCTTCACCTTTTTTTTTTTTTTACCAAGTCTCCCAACTCCCCATCTGGGAATTATTGGTGTGTTCTCTGTATCTATTAGTTTCTGTTTTGTTCATTTGTGTTTTAGATTCCACATATCAGTGAAATCATATGGTATTTGTCTTTCTCTGTCTGACTTATTTCACTTAGCATAATGCCCTCTAGGTCCATCCATATTTTCACAATGGTAAGATTTTATTATTTTTTATGGCCAAGTAATATTCCATTACACACACACACACACACACACACACACATACGATCACATCTTATCCAATTGTCTATCAATAGACACTTAGGTTGCTTCCATATCTTAACTATTGAACATAATGCTGCAACGAATATAGGGATGCACATATCTTTTCAAATTAGTGTTTTGAATGTCTTTAAATAAATCTCTAGAAGTGGAATTGCTGGGTATATAGTTCTATTTTTAATTATTTCAATGTTAAGCATCTTATGTCTATTGGTCATCTGTATGTCCTCTTTGGAGAAGTGTCTATTCGGATCCTCTGCCCGTTTTTTTTTTTTTTCTCATCCAAGGACATTTTTCCATTTCTTGTACAGACAGTGGGAGGGAGAGAGAGGAAGAGAGAGAGAGGGAAACATCGATGCAAAAGGGACACATCGAATGGCTGCCACCCGCACGACCAACCAGGGCCGGGGACAAACCACAACCGAGGTACATGCCCTTAGCGGGAACCGAACCCGGGTCTCTCCGGACCACAGGCAGACGCTCTAACCGCTGAGCCAAACCGGCCAGGGCTCCTCTGCCTATTTTTAAATCAGATTTTCTTCTTTGGTGCTAAGTTGTATGAGTTCCTTATATATTTTGGATATGAATCCCCTATCAATGTATCATTGGTGAATATCTCCTCCCACTCAGTAGGTTGTCTTTTTGTTGATGGTTTCTTTTGCTGTGCAAAACCTTTTTAGTTTGATGTAAACCCATTTGTTTATTTTTTCTCGTTTCTCTTGCCCCAGGAGAGACACACACACACACACACACACACACACACACACGCACGCGCACGCACACACATTACTAAGAGCAATGTCAGAAAGTTTACTCCTTATGTTTCCCTCTAGGAGTTTTATGGTTTGGGGTCTTACATTTAAATCTTTAATCCATTTTAGTTTAGGTTTGTAAGAAAGTGGTCTAAGTTTTCTTTTTCTTTTTTAGCATGTATCTGTCCAGTTTTCCCAGCTAATTTATTGAAGATACTGTCTTTACCCCATTGTATATGTTTGCCTCCTTTGTCGTAGATTAATTGCCCATATAGGTGTGGGTTTATTTCTGGGCTCTCTATTCTGTTCCATTGACCTATGTGTTTGTTTTTATGCTAGTGCCATGTTGTTTTGATTACTATAGTCTTGTAGTTTGATATTAGGTAGCACAATACCTCCAACTTTGCTCTTCTTTTTTTTACAGGCAAGTTTATTTAGTCACAGCGGTAGAAAAAGTGAGCCAGCTGGGCTGTGTAGGCCCAGGAAACAAGTAAAAGAGTCAAAAGAAAGGTCCTTGGAACTTAGGAGAAAGGCAAAGGTAACGTGCCTGGCAGAAGAAAGGGGAAAGGCACAGGCATGCTCTGGAGAGAGAGAGCGCACTGCCCAACTTTGTTCTTCTTAAGGTTGCTTTGGCTATTTGGGGTCTTTTGTGGTTCCATATACATTTTAGGATTATTTGTCTAGTTCTGTGAAAAATGCCATTGGTGTTTTGATAGGGATTGCTTTGAAACTATAGATTTGAATAGTATGGACATTTTAAATATGTTAAATTCTTCCTATCCATGAGCATGGTATATGCTTCCATTTATTTGTATCTTCTTCAATGTCTTATACTATTTCTCGTACAGTTCTTTTACCTCCTCAGTTAAATTTCTTCCTACGTATTTTATAATTTTTCTTTTAATCCTCACCTTAGGATATTTTTCCCATTGATTTTCATTTATTTATTTTAATCCTCATCTGAGGATATTTTTTCCACTGAATTTTTTAAAGGTAGAGTGGGGGGGGGGGGAACATCTATATGACAGACACATCAATTTGTTGCCTCCTGCATGGCCCCAACCAGGGCTGGGGATAGAACCTGCAACCAAGGTACATCCCCTTGACCAGGAATCGGACCCAAAACTCTTTGGTTTGTGGGCCAGTGCTCCTACCACTGAGCCAAACTGGCTCCAGTGATTTTTAGAGAGAATGGAAGGGAGGGGAGGGGGAGAGAGAGAAACAAAAATGTGAGAAAGACACATCAATTGGTTGCCTCCCACATGCACCCCAACCAGGGCCAGTGAGCAAACCTGCAACCCCAGGTATGTGCCCTTGACTGGGCTGATGTTCTAACCATTGAGTCACACCTGTCGGGACTATTTTGCATTTTTTGATGCAATTGTAAATGGTACTGTTTCCTTAATTCCTTTTTTATTGATTTTGAGAGAGAGAGGAATGGAAAGGGAGAGAGCGAGGGAAACACCAATGGTGGCCTCCTGCATGCCCTTTATCTGGGATAAAGCCTGAAACCTAGGCATGTGCCCTGAGAATCAAACCAGCAACCTTTCGGTTCATGGGACAATGCCCAACCAACTGAGCCACGTTATTGATATATAAAAATGTAATTGATTTCTGAGTGTTAACTTTGTATACTGCTTCTTTATTGAATTCATGTATCACTTCTAATATATTTTTCACGGACTCTTTAGGGTTCTCTCTCTATGGTTATGTCATCTGAAAATAAAGTTTTACTTCTTCCTTTTATTTGATAAGTCTAACTTTTAAAGAAAGTTTCCCAAAGTGGTGGTGCCATGTAACATTCTCACCAACAGTATATGAGAGCTACAGTTCCTCCATATAATCTCTCCTCACACTTGTTATGAGTCATGTAATACCATCATTTACTTATGGTAAAATGGACAGTTAAAAAACTTGTGACTGCCCTGGCCGGTTTGGCTCAGCAGTTAAGAGTGTTGGCCTGTGGTCCAGAGAGACCCAGGTTCGGTTCTCGCTAAGGGCACGTATCTCGGTTGCAGTTTGTCCCCGGCCCTGGTTGGGTCGTGTGGGTGGCAGCTACTCAATGTGTACCTTTCACATCGATGTTTCTCTCTCTCTCCCTCTCACTCCCTCCCACTCTATCTGAACAAAAAATGGAAGAAATGTCCTCGGGTGATAAAAAAAAAAAAATTGTGACTTACCCAGTCACTCAGAACCACCTTATCAGCATGCTCAACGCATACTGACCCAAGCAGGTTTCACTAAGTCTGTACTCCCCAACCTCATTTTCTGACCATAGATGAGGAGACTGAGATCCCATGAGGTCACCTCTGGAAGTGACTCCTCAGCCTACAAGAGGTGAGTCTGTTTTGTGTAGCCTGTCCCAAGCCAAGAGGGACCAGGGACCTCCTCTAGGGTTCTTTCCCCTTCCCTTGTGGGAAACCCTGCCCCTGTCATGGGCATAATCCTACCCCAAACTCAGAGGGTCCAAGAAGGCTGGAAGTCTTCCCTGTGACATCACATAGCTGGTTGCCGAGGGAGACCTGCAGACCCACCTCCTAGGCAGGGGAGAGCTGAGCCCTGCTGCTCAGGAGGCTGGGCCACTCCTCCCCCATCAAACTGGCCCTCAATGGAAGCCTTGGTCTGTGCGTTCTCTGAGCTGCGCATAAGAGAAGGTGCGGGGCTGTGGGGAGGAGTGGCAGGAAGAGAGATGTCCTCCAGTCCTAACCTGGGCCCAAAGCCACTAGGGACATGAATACTTGGGAAAGAGGAATGGCCCCTGGTCCAGGATGTGTGGACTATGTGATTCTGGACCCACTGTAAAATTTCTATACTGGCACCAGAATAGTCTGTCCAGGGTAGAGGGCAAAAATGGGTGGCAAAAAGGGCTCAAAGTCCTGAAAGAGAATTTAGTGCCAAGGCTCAGGCTCCTCAGACCCCTTTGTTGGCTGGGAAAGGAAAGGCAATATGTTGGGTCAGAGGAGGCCGAAGGCAAGGTATTTAGCCCATTTGACAGAAAGGTAAGCTGAAGTTTGGCAGGCCCATGTGGAGCCCATCACCTGAGCATGTGACTGCGTTCTCCCACCGTGGCTGGCTGTGGCCTCCTGGCAACCCCGCTCCTACTTTCTCCTCCACAGATTCAGTGAGCTGGGCCCAAGGACTCCCCAGTCACCCTGACACACCATCCAACATCTATGAGGGAGGGCTGGGGGCCCAGCAGCAGCAGTGCCCCGGTGCCCAGGGAAGCAAGCCCAAGAACTTCCGGCTACGCCACCTCCGAGGTCTGGCACTCTACCTGCCAGGCCACATGCAGCCCGCTGGCCAGTGTGAGAGCCACTGGCTGGGCCGGCTCATGACAGGGGGGTGCCTTCCATGGACCGAGGGCATGGCCTGGCCCCTGGCTCTGCCACAAGAGACTCTGAACCCAGGTAACAGCCACTGCTCAACCCTTCCGGATGCTCAACTGCCCAGGGACAGCCCGGGAAATACAGGTGAGCACTTGCCCAGGTGATGCTGGAGGGGAAGACCCAGGGAAGGGCTGGGTTGGAGATTCAAATGGACCCTTCTCCACTCTCAAGCCTCCTGGATTTCTGTCCCATCTCTGCAATTGATGAGCTCCCCCACTTCTGGGCTGGGCCTCAATTTCCCCATTTGTAAAATGAAGGGTTTGGGTTAGATGAGGGTCCTTCCAACTTAAACCATGTTTCCCTCCTCCTCTCTCCCTCATGGATTATCTTGAAAGAGACCCCCCCCCCAATACTCCTTTTTCAAGGAAGCCAGATTCTGTAGGAGGGGGGAGTCACAGGATAAGATAGGCTGGCAGCCTCCCCTGGGGCCAAGTGACTCCTCTCTCCCCTCTTTCCTCAGCATCCAGTTCCAGCATGGATCCAGCTAAGGATGCCCCCTCCCAGCCTGGTACCCCTGAAGTCTTGGGGTTCAGGCCCAAGAGGTCCTGTGAGGTCTCAGAGGAGTACACCTGTCCACTGTGCAAGAGAATCCGCTCTGGAGCTCTGGAGAGGCCATAGGGATCTGAGTGCCAGGGCTGGTTCTCATAGCTCAGGACAGGAAGGGAAAGATGACCCAGGAGGTGCCGGAGGAGGCAGGCCCAGAGAGGAAGGGCTCAGCCCCACTAGTATCACCTCCAGACTGAGAAACCTATGGCTGCCCAGCACCAGAGCCTGAGCCAGCCTCGGGAAAACTTAAGGGGACGGAGGAGGAGGTCTTGAGGGAGGGAGAGAAAAAAATAGAAGCCTGGGCATGCCCTTGCAGCCTGCTCCAACTCAAGTAAACCACTTGTACCTGGGAGGCCAGGCTGAGTGGAGAGTGGGGCTCCCAAGAGGCTGGGGAGCCTGCAGGTCTAATATTAATAAAAGCCAAAACCTGCATGCACTTGTCCCTCGGTCTGTCATCAGGCTAGTTCAGTTAGAGAACAGCCCCTTGGCACCTGTGTTTCTGAAAGCAGATTTTGTGTCCTTGGCCCTGTTGATATTTGGGACCAGATCACTCTTTGTTGTGGGGGCCATCAGGTATGTTGCAGGATGTTCAGCAATGTCAGCAGCCTCTACCCACTAGATTCAGCTAGCTCCCTCTCCCCAACTGTGACAACCAAGTGTCTCCAGATAGTGTCATCAATGTCCCCTGGTGGCAAAATCATTCCTAGTCTATGTCACTGGGCCTCAGCCTTGTGGGGACAGGATGGAAGGACTGAGGTTGACCTCAGTGACCCTCACTATCTGGTTGACTTCCAATCCTGGCAACCCAGGTCAGGGTAGGGCTGAGCTGCCCCTTTGGGGGCTCCTGCCAGATCCACATGATAGTGTCAATGACCCTCTGGATACCAGGACAGCTGGGTTCCTTCCAGAGACAAGGGAATGCACCCTTAGTCCCCTTCCCTGCTCCTATACTCTGGTTCCACCTTGGACATTTGATAGGTCCCTGAGACTTCATTCAGTCCCTGGGCTGTTTTCAGGTTGTTGTAAGTATGGGCGTGGCCCTGGGTGGTGGGAGTCTTAAGGCTGCAGTAGCTAGACAGCAGCCCCAGGAGGAGAAAACAATGAGAGAGCAGGTGTTTGAATACTCCAGCTGTGGGGGAGGGATGTAGCCACCAACTGGTAGATGAGGTAAGCCCCAAGGGGTGTCAGAAAGGGCAGCTGCCTTCTCCCATTGCCACATTCACTCCCCCAGAGGCTGAGGGTGGTGGGACCTGAGGGACCACTGCTTCAGACAGACATTAGGGGGCTGCTCCTGGTCCAGGCAGGCACTGGGCAGAAGTGAGACCATGTCAGAAGCTATAATACTCGGTCCTTGAAGACTGTCACAACCTCCTCTGAACTGAGGCTCAGAGAAGAGCACAGACTGCCCCCAGGGTTCAGATTTTCAGGCTGCGGCGGTGGCTTCCACTGGACCACATCCCAGTAGTCTGGCCTTGTGTAGAACCCCCTGCCTTGACTTGGGACTGCTCTGGATCTTGCTTTACAAATTGAATGTGGTAGAAGTGACATGGTATCACTTCTGGCATGAGGGAGGCCTGGTAGCTTCTAGTGTGTGTGTGTGGGAGGGGGAGTCAGTGTCCACAGAAACCAACCTACCTCCGGGGAGGCCACCACTGACCTACTGGCCACCTCAGGAGTGCATCCTTCAGCCCTAGATGAAGCATGTAGGGCAAATGAACCACAGCACAGGTCTTTCCCCAGGAAAAGATATCTGCTGCAACATGTGAGTCCCAAACAAAACTGGCTAAGTTGGCCTCTAAACGGTTCTTCTCTAAACCTCTCAGAGCTTTCTTGAAAAGTACTCCAAGGAGGCTGAGAAGCAGAAAAGCCATGGCCATGGCATGCTGGGGACAGGGAGCTGATGTAAAGGAGCACCTAAAGCTTCAAACAAGCAGTCGTTTGCAGAAATGCACACTGACCAACATGGGGCACTCTCACCCTATTCCCTGAATGTCCAGTGTGTTTGGAACTGGCCACCTGGAGTCAGTCTCAGCCCTTGGGAGCCTGTCCTCGAAGCCTGGTGGGCTGGAAGGGCACAGTTGCCTTCAGGGCAATGGTCACCAGAACTCCTGCCCCTACCCATCCCAAGTTGACACATGGCTACACAACTGACCAAGGGCCCCAGGAGTTGCCCCTTAACCCTAAAGCTGACCCATTAAAGGAAGTGTATTTATCTCAATAAGTAAGGGTGTAACTCACAGCACCAGGACACCACTAGGACTCAGAGTCCAGGCCAGCTCACTGAGCTCACTCCATTCAATGCCTCTAGCCCCAACACAACCCCTTGGGCTCCCTCACATCCAGTGCCACAGGCCCTGTCCTGGAGAGGGCTGTTTGGGCGGTGCTCTACCCTCAGGGAGAAGTACACACATAGGTTTTAGAGGGGCCATTCAAGAGCTGTGTGGCTCCTGTGTAACTTCTGGCCCCGAACCAGTTTTCCTCATCTGTCCAAAGAAGTGACAAACATGACCCTTTGACCCCAGGGTGGCCAGAAGCTCCAAGGAGAGGTTGGTGGAAGCACATGGTGCCAGGCTTGGCCCAGCCTCAGGCCCCCATGAAGTGCCCTGGCCCACAGGTCCCCCAGGCTCCTGTGGCAAGGTGCACTGGTCCAGGGTCCCTACTTGACCACTGCATTGAGTTACCTATCCAGCCTTCTCTAAGCCAGGAAGTTCCCCCCAGAGGACCAGGCCCGAGCTCTAGGCCTAGAGCTGGCCAAGGAGATTCGAAAAAATGGGGGCAGCTGCTTGAGGACCTGAGTTTAGAAAAAGAGCCCAGTTCAGCTCTAGAACTTCTTCCCCAGGACCACATTATTTGGCAGGATAAACTATAAAAAAACAATTGATCCTTTTAGCTGGAAGCCATCCTCAGGATTTGACAGCAACAAACAGCTCCTGGGCCACCCAAAGCTACCACCCCAGCAATGGGGCAAATCCCCACAGCAATGGCCCAAAGTGCAAGACAGGATGTGACCAATTAAAGTCTATTTATTTCTTTGTAATGAGACAGAACACTATAATCTGTTCAACACTGGGCTAGACACTGCTGTGATTAGGGGCAAGGAGGAAGGGGCAGGGCAAGGCCTCGGCTCACTTATGAATGTCCAAGGCAGAACCTTCTGGAAGACTCTTCCCTTACCCCAAAGGGCAGAAATAAAAACCACATGATAACCGTTGATTCAGATTCGAGAGGACACTGAGCTGGGACTCAGCTCAAAGCCAATGTCAGCACTGAGTGGAGACCAGTCAGCAAGAGTGTGAAGTGGCTGAGGAAGGAGGAATGCTTTTCGGGCCCAGGCTTGCCTTCATCTTGAGAAACTCGTTTCCCCCACCACAAGACCAGAGGAGCCCCTGGGCTGGGAGTTCCAACGAAGGGAAGGATGTCAGTCCGATGCCCTCTTGCCTGGTTTTTCCCCTTTCTCCTCCCACTCAGGCTGGTGCACTGTGGCGATGGCTCCATGACACTGCAGCAATGCTGGGCATGATTCCGCCAACCTCCTTTACTCTGGAGGGCAGGGCAGAGAGCAAGCAGCTTTGGGGGAATGGGGTGGAGGGGACGCCAGAAGCAAGTGATGTCCACATGCACACTTCCTGGCACTGACGGCCTCTCATGTCTCTGCCCCCAGAGGCTGAGGGACCACAAGGCACGTGACTGCCCCCAGCCTCATAGGCCAGGTCCTACTTGATCAAACACCACACTCAGCTTCTTCTTGTCTGCATCTGGTCAGGCCTCATAACTATAGCTCATGGAACTGAGGGACTAAGGGGAGGACCCCCGGGACCCTCACCAGCACCTGTCCTCAGCCTGGCTCCCTACGGCAGTTCAACTGAATGGCACATCTAGCATGTGATAGGTAGTTCCTCACTCTCTGAGACAGCAGGACTGCGGCAGAGGAATGGGAAACCTTCCCATCATCTGACCACCTGTCAGGGAACTAAGCCCCAAAGCTCTGTGCTTGAAATGAAAAGCCTCTCACCACTTGCCAGCCCCTCATGGGGAGGTAGAGGTTGCTCCCCATCCCCCAGGCTTCTGCGGGCTGGTTCTGGACAGGGTCTGGCATTCCCTTTAATTTCACCCCTTCATTGTTCTGAGGCTCCTATGTCTTTAGGGTCAAGTCTATCCATAACACTTAAGTTCCTCCTTCCCAGAAGTTCATTCTGGCTTTGGAAGGAGCTGGAAGAAACGGGCAGTGCAGGGAAAGAGGTTGGTGAGGAGGTGCAGAGAAGGAAGCGCCTTCCTGCCCCCTTACTCCCAGGGCAGCAGAAGAAACTGACCACAATAAACATTGCGGCCAGCCTGTGGGGCTGGTGCACTCACATGGGGGCCAGACCAGGGCATGGGCAGAGGTTTCCATAGCAGGAAGGAGGACTGGAAGAATCTGCAGGAAAGAGAAGAGGGGAGCACGGGTGAAGGCCTCTGCAAAAACACTATGCCCCACCCTATGTCTGGCCTAGGAAGCCACAGCTAGCCCTGGGTGCCCTTGGAACATGAGCCCTTCTCTAGGTTGAGTCTCTTCTGGTGACCCCTGGGCTCCTCAGTCCCAGCACTAATCAAGGCACTGGGTGTGCCAGCCCACGTAGCCACGGAGCACTCTGTGAGCTTAGTTCAAGTCACCAACCTGCTTTAGGCCGTGTCCATGCACAAGTGGGTGAACTGTGGGGTCGAGCTCTGATGTTCTCTGAGGTCTGAGAGAGACTGGCTCACCACTGCACTCATGGTGTTCAGAAATAGCCTTGTCTGAACAGATCCCTCATCTACAAAGTGCCCACCTCAGGGAGCTTCACTGTGAGCTGATGTTGCCACTGGTGTTAGAGCTGACAACTAAGCAGGACCTATGAAAGCATGTCTGAAACATAGCAGCTCTGGGCACCCTTTGAAAGGGTAATGAGTGGCTATGGATGGGGAGAAGGGGCTTGATCTTTTGGTACCTTTTCCATTTCTCAACCATATAAATGCATTATATATTTTTAAAGTTGTTCAGGAAGTTAAAAGATAAAGTTCTGGCCAAGGGCTCAAGGACTCTGCTTTCCTCCTTTAAATTTCTGAGTTGGTCAGGAACGACCTCAGCCTTTAGTGCAGCAGGTGCACATCCAGAGTCTTGTTTTTATTGTTGAAAGCACCAGGCCCTACCATTAGGACCATCATCCCACTCAGTTCTGCTCCCCTCTTCCCCACCACCTGTTCAAGCAGGCATACCTGTTGGAGACCGGGCACACCCGCCCCACAACGCTCTGCTCCTGAGCCCACGTAGCACCGGGCCTGCAAGCTGGAGCAGGCAACGGGCCAGCTCCTCTGCAGAGCACAGCTGAGGTCAGATGGCTAGGAAGGTGGGCTCCGCAGGGCGCCGAGGGGTGGGACCTGTTCGAGGCTGCCCGGCTGACATCACATGGTCCGGCTGTATTCAATGCCGCCCTTGGTGGAGATGCTTGACCATGGCAGAAAGCTGCAGAGCAAGCTGTGGGCCTGGCGGTAAATCCTATGTGGGATGGAGCAGGGACTCAGGTTTGCTAAAGCAGAGCCCAGGTGCTGGATGTAGTCCGTGGGGCTCTGTTAAGGAAGACTCCCACTCTCCTTGTCCGCCCACATATCCCTGGAGTGGCAATCAGCAGGGGCCCAAACAGCAATCTGCAGGACTGTGCAGACAGCATGCCATTCTCAAGGGAGGCCAAGAGACTGCTTAGCCTCTGCAGAGTGCTAGAAAACCTCCTTGGAGAGGCCTCCAATATGCAAAATAACAAAGGGCAGCACATGGGCACAAAAGGACCTTCCAGGTGAGGTCTCCCAGACTAAGGCTGACAGGCAGGAAACAGGTACTTCTGGGAGGGGTATGGCAAAAGAGCAAGTGTTTCCGGTCCTGCCCCTACACAGTCCTGGGGGGCGGGGGGCTCATCCCTGTGACACAGAGGGGTCAACAGTGCTAAACCCTTAGACAGCACAGAGGCCCATCTCCACATGAGCATGGAGGCCTGTGGGCTTTGTACCACCTTTCTATTTCCTGCTTATTTCCCTATGAAATGGAAAAATCCTAGACTCATTTATTTAATTACACACACATACACGCACACACAGTTATTTTCTGGGCCACACCCTATGATTATTAAGAAGTCTTATAGCCTCCCTCCTACTTGTCAAGGGCCAGAGAGAGTTAAAGAGCCAGGAGCAGGGAAGGGACACACCACTGGCTCATGTACCCCACACTTTGGTAAGAAAGATTCGAACCTGTGTTCAAAACAGCAAACAACTTTCACCTCACTTGTTTGCTTTCTCCTCTGCCAGCGCAAAGGCCCCTATTTTATTCATTGTTGTAGCTCCCACATACCAGAAACAGAAGACTCTCAACCAATACTTATTGGATGAATAGATGGACAAATGGATGGGTAGATCTTGGACCAAGGGGATTAAAAATCCACCCCACATACTGGGCTAAAGTCCAGGGAACACTGAGTGCCAGAACACGTTTGCTTTCCCAATACGTGCAACCAGACCATCATTTCCCAATACATGCTAACTGGATCTATCCACACCACCATCTCATCAGGGAAAAAAATGCATCCTATGAGCTTAGCCTTGTGAACATCATCTGAAAGTGACCACATCTCCATCTGGTACTAGGAAGCCAGTCCCTCACCCCTGATAAGAAAAGGATATAGAATGGTCCAGGGAGGGTGGCCACCATTGATGTAGAGGACATAGGTGAAGCCATCTTTGAGGACCCCACGAATGGAGTAGTAATAGGGGAGATAGTGGTGCTGCTTAAAATCTCTGTTTTCGTAGAAGTTTATTGCTGTGTTGTTGGTGGTGAGGACGTGTAGGTAGATGGCTTTGCAGTGGTCCTGGGCGGTGGTAGATATGTGATCCTTTAAACTCTCAAGTAAAAGAGAACCTGTAGGCAAAGAGGCAACAGTCACAGTAGGCAGGGCAGGTGAGGAGGAAGCATGAGGCAGACAAGGAAGTGACCTTCACAGAGATCTCTACAGATCTCTCTGCCACTGCATCAAGGACTGACTTCCCATAACCACCCACTGTCAAAGTCCCTAAAATCCCATAGCCATACAGGGCCTATTAGCTGCAGACCACTGGGTGTTCAGCACCATGGATCCTGGCTGTGTAGCTCCCTCCCAGGGGCTGGAAATTCAATAACCTTTCAGACAGCAAGAAATGTAAACCATAGCCCAGGAAAATGTGGAATGGCAGAAAAGGATTATAGTGAAGACTGCTGTGGCTGAGTGGGATGGGAATTTGGAGACATAGGGATGGCACAGCACCCTGGATATGACAGGCATCTGATACATGGCAGCTGGGACTATTTCATCAATTATGTTTTCTACTCTTTTATTTTTTTAAATCCTCACCCTAGGATATTTTTTCCATTGATTTTTAGATAGAGTGGGAAGGAGGAAGGGGGGAGGGAGAGAGAAACATCGAAGTGCCTGACGGGCCAGGGACTGAACTTGCAACTGAGGTACATGTCCCTGGCCATAAATCGAACCCGAGACTTTTTGGTCCATAAGCTGACACTCTAACTGCTGAGCCAAACCGGCCAGAACATGCTTTCTACTCTTAATCAAGCATAACTTGTGACCAGACATAAGATGTGTGTGTGGTAGCAGGTGAGGTTAAGAGGTGCCCATTCTGTAATAAGGACCTTTGGAAGCTGTTAGTAATCTAATCTTGTCAGATCTGGAAACAAGGCCACAGCAGAAAGACTTGGTAATGAGCAGAAAGAGCATGGGCTGAACTGAAGGTCAATGGGGGTGGGGGTGCAGGCACAGGAAATGTGTTGGGAGGAGAAGATAAAGGTCTGACTTGAGGGAGGAAGAGTAGAGGAAGAGACAGAGGGATATTGATGAGCAAGAATAATCAGAATTCGGGAAGTGATTAGATGTGGGTGGGTTGGGTGTATGTGCTAAAATTCATGATCTCAGTCACCCCTTACCTATGCCGTGCTTTCTGAATTCCTTCACTACTCCCAGACTTAGAATGTATGCAACTTGTGTATCAACAGAGAAGTTGGAGGCTAGAATATCTCCATCCTAAAGAAAAAGTCAGAAATAAAGTTAGATTCACAGTCGAGGCATGCAGTCCCACTATAGAACACATCTCATGCTGAGTCTCCTAGCCACAATACCTGGGGGGGGGACACTGGGGCAGGAAGGGACAGAACAGAGGATAATGGAGTCACCCCCACCCCCAAGAAACAAAAGGGTGTGGACCTTTCTGCTAAAATAAGAACACTCACAAAAAGTCGCTTCTCTTTGGAATGGGTAGTAGACCATACAAGGAGGGACACTGATGCCAGACAAGTGAAGCTATGATGGTAAAAAGGAAACGACTATGCTACATGGGCACTAAATGATACTCACACGTGTTAACAGACACACCAAGTGACCAAACAACCAAACACAGAGCTTTAGAAGTTTAATGAAAGGATCTTGCACTGCCCCCAGGTCAGGGAGGGGAGTTTGGGTGGCCTCTCTGCTGTCCACACCAGGCAGAGCGACATGCATGGCCTGCCACCCGAGGTGTGCTCTTGGTTCCAGAGATAAAATTCTGGACTGACAAAGAGTTGTGAATTTGACCACCATGAAGTTCTGATGTTCCTCTACTTTGTAAATCTACTCAGCTGATTCTCACCCATAGAAAGAAAGTTTGGTGACTGGGCTTCTCGATCCCCATCCACTATTCACTGAGTGGCTCCCATATGCCAGATATGGGTTGGCCTATCCCTGTTCCTACGGCCCACACTCCTGGCCCCAGCCCTGGCCACAATAATGCACAACATAGTTAAGCAGGACATAGGCAAACTCAGTTTCAGGGAGGTGAGCATCCTTACTGCTCTTGTTACTTGAAGCCCATGGAAGGGTCAGGGAGGTAAGGCAGGCATTTCATTCCCCAGCTGATGTCTTCTAACAGCTCCTGCTTTCTTTCCCCAGTGTTGAATGAATTCAGCCTCTCAGCAGGGCCTGAGAAAGTGCCAGAGTGCAAAGGCTCTCTCTCCTGATACCCAGGGTATAGAAGAAAAGGGTCCCAATCTCCACCCTCAAGGGAAAACCCACACATTCAAAGCAGCACAGAGATCTAGTCACCATTCATATGGGAATGGACAGTTGCTGAGGGCACACAGGAAGAGCTTTATAGAGTGGGTTTTGGGGAACAAGTCAGAGGAGGTGAAGATGGGACAGTTTGTCCTGAGAAAGAGGAAAGATAAAAAAGATACTGATGCTGCTGCCCGGCCAGTGCGGCTCAGTGGTTGAGCGTTGACCCATGCACCAAGAGGTTGCCAGTTCCATTCCCGGTAAGAGCACATGCCCAGGTTGTGGGCCTGATCCCCAGTGGGGGGCATGTAGAGGTGGCCAATTGATATTCTCTCTCATCGATGCTTCTATCATCTTTCTCCCTCTTCCTTCCTCTCTCTCTAAAATCAATAAAGGAAAAAAAATTTTTATTTTATGCCCTGGCTGGTTTGGCTCAGCGGTTAGAGTGTTGGCCCGTGGACCAGAGAGTCCTGGGTTCGGTTCCTGCTAGGGGCACGTACGTCAGTTGCAGTTTGTCCCCGGCCCTGGTTGGGGTCGTGTGGGTGGCAGCCAGTCGATGTGTCTCTCTCACATTGATGTTTCTCTCTTTCTCTTCCTCCCTCCCTCCCTCCCTCCTGCTCTATCTGAAGATAAATGCAAAAATGTCCTTAGGTGAGGATAAAAAAAAATTTTTTTTATTTTAAATAAAATAATAAAAAAGATACTGATGCTTGCTTAAAACACCAATGTTTCTTTTTCTTTTTTTCCTGTATCTTAGCACTGAAAAATAGAAGAAAAAAACTCAGAGAATAGCTAAAATAGAAAAGTTACTCTTAAAAGAAACCAACTTTGCTCTGGCAAGTTTTGCTCAACGGTTGGAGCATCGGCTTGCAGTCCAGAGAGAACCGGGTTTGGTTCCTACTGAGGGCACGTGCCTCGGTTACAGTTTGTCTGCAGCCTGGTTGGGTTGTGCATGTGGGTGGCAGCCGCTTGATGTGTCCCTTTCATGTCGATGTTTCTCTCTCTCTCTCTCTCTCTCTCTCTTCTTCTCCTCTCTCCCTCTCACTCTATCTAAACAAAAAATGAAAAAATGTCCTCGGGTGAGGATAAAAAAAAAAAAAAAAAAAGAAAGCAACTTTGCCAGAATCTAATTAGAGGCAAATTAGACTTGAGTGGTTTGGGTCTTTAAAAGGGAGAGAGATCTTTGATCTTTCTTGCATTTTTAAAGAAATAGACTCAAGCCAAACAGATAGAAGCAGTTGCCAGTTGTTGGTGGGTTTTTTCCTCCTCCTTGAAGTAAATAACCCACACAGTAAATGGTACTCAGTCACGAAGACCAAAATCATATGGTAGAATCTTTTTTTTTTTTTTTTTGTACAGATAGAGTGGGAGGGAGAGAGAGGAAGGGAGAGAGAGAGAGAAACATCGACGTGAAGGGACACATCGAGTGGCCGCCACCCGCACGACCAACCAGGGCCAAACTGCAACCGAAGTACGTGCCCTTAGCGGGAACCGAACCCGGGTCTCTCCAGACTGCAGGCCGACGCTCTAACCGCTGAGCCAAACTGGCCAGGGCATATGGTAGAATCTGGACCCAAGTCAACCACATGGAACAATGTGTTTGTGACCATGACCTCACATTTTACATGTAGTGCAGGACTTGCTAACTCTTGGTCCAAAGACTCTCCAGGGTTCTTAGATAGATCTTAGAGGGGTCTATGAAATTGAATGGAAAAAATCTTTATTTTTACTAACCTGTAACTGAAACTTAGCATTTCCTTCAACAAACCACAGCAGTAATAGTAGTTTCTGACACTGCCACCAATACAAATCACAGTCCCTTACAACTCTGCAGATTCTCAGTGGACCATTTACACCCCTTTCAACTTCGAAATGACAGTCATTAGAAAGAAGCCTGTGGTTAGGACTTGTTACTTAACTCACGTATGACTGTATCATGTACACACAGAATACGCATCTGGGTATGAGACTCATATGCAGCCTAGGCCATAGAGCAGGCAGCATGATTCTGTCCTAAGGCCCTGGTGGCCCCAACATCATTGCACGTACTTACCTCCTTGTGTATCTTGGTCCTACTTTTTATTTCGGCTACTATCATTCCTACAATGGTACCCCTGTAGGTTGCAGCAAGAGAAAAGAACTTCGTGTTGGAGGTGATGTCACGATACCATGAGTCTGGGTACCTGAGGAGAACAAACTCAGGTGAAATTGCCAAAGGCCAAGTCCAACTAACGTGGTGCTTCAGAGAGTGAACCCACAGGGGACTCGAAGCTACTCTGCCCACTGCGCCAGGGTTGACAAGAAGCCTGCCCACCACTCAGTCTCCACCAAAGAGTATCATACTCAGTGAAGCATCTTCTTAAAGCAGCAATCTATCCAGACAGGATGGGGAATTTCTGATGGAAAAATGATTTTGTAAGATGTAGAGATAAGAAGGAGAAAATATCCTTCCATGACATTGTCTCCAAGAGAGCAGTGCCTGGAGGGGCCAGCTGGAAGAGTTCAGATTCAAGACCCTTGGTAGTCCAAGGGGAGCAGAGAAAAGATCATTTCATGCAAAATCCTATGACACAGTAAGGAAAGACAGATGACTCAGCCCCAGGTAAGGAGACTCAGTGACAGAGACAGGACACTCGGGGCTTTATGGGTCTGTGGGTTTGTTTCTTAACGTGGGACATAACAAGTTAGCCCAGATACCTTTCTTGAGACCAAGAGCTGGAAGAAGGTGTCAGACCCTCCACTGTGTAGAGACACAGTGGAGAGGTGCTCTGCCTGGATCCACCCACCAGAAGGCTCTATGGGACCTGAGCATCACCCAAGCTCCTCTCCTGATTGCAGTGGGTAAAACCTGAGGTTAAGACTCATAGAAACAACCCTAGCCGGTTTTGCTCAGTGGTTAGAGCATTGGCCTGTGGACTAAAGAGTTGCAGGTTCGATTCCGACCAAGAGCACGTACTTTGGTTGCATTTTATCCCCGGCTCTGGTTGGGGTCGTGCAAGTGGCAAACAATCAATGTGTCTCTCTCACATCTCTCCCTCCCTCCCTCCCTCCTTCCCTCCCTCCCTCCCTCCCTCTCACTCTGTCTGAAGATAAATGTAAAAATATCTTCAGGTGAGGATTATTTAAAAAAAGACTCACAGAAACATAGCCCTGGCCAGTGTGGCTCAGTTGGTTGAGCGTCATCCTGTGAACCAATAGGTTGCTGGTTCAATTCCCAGCCAAGGCACATGCCCAGATTGTGGATTTAATCAGGGTATATGCGGGAGGCAACCAATTAATGTTTCTCACATCGATGTTCCTCTCTCTAAAATCAATAAAAAAATATTAAAAAAAAAAAAAAGACATAGAAACATAATGTTTAGCAGGAGCTTGAAAAGTTTGCACCTATTTTTCTCACAACAAAAGTTCTATGTGCACATTACAGAAAAATGGAGAAAATACAGACAAGCAAAATGAGACAAACTTGTAGCTACCAATAATCTCCCTACCCCAAACTACCAAAAACACTTTGCTAGATGGTACATATTTTCATAGGCTTTTACCTTGTGCATATTTTCAAATAAAAGTGGAATTGTGGTACATACTATTTTCTAGACTGCTTTTCTCATTTAATACCTCATTAAAAAAAAACAAAAAAAAACTCTCCTTGTCAAATGATAGATCCCCCCATCCCCGACTGAACTATTGCCATTCCCTACTGTTAAGATACTTAAGTTGATTCTCAATTTTCTAACTTCTAAATAGCACTGCATTGAACATTTTTGTATTTAAAGTTTCTTAGCAAAGCCCTTTTGGGGAACTCTTCCTATAAGGAACACAGTGAGACGGAAGGAATCTGATGGCCATCAGAGAGCAGGGCCTGGGCTCCTCTGACAGGCAAGGTGACTGTGGGCCACCATGGCACCTCCACATCATCCTCACCTTTGCATAAGCCTGCCTGCTTCAGCGGATCCATGGGCATTACCCCCACTTATTCCCCCACCCCTCCAATCTGCAGCTGCAGGGCAGTGTGTGCCACTTAGCTTACTCGATGGGGAACCAGTCACCACAAAGATGCTTCACAGTGTCTATGTCATCGTGGCAGAGGAGGCGTAGGCTGACCTCGCTGAGGGCGCTGGACGGCACCACCTCTGTCATTCACACCTGCAGGGAGGGAGGCAAGGTCAGGAGAGCAGCCAACCTCCCCTAAACCCCCCACCAACCCACAGACCTCATCATGGCACATTCACTTCCTCTTCCTCCTAATCTGTGAGGCAGGAAAGATGGGAAGACTAATGCATCCCCCAGGGATGGTAGTCTCCTCAGTAACTGCATGGAGCATTTCTGTCCCTCACAATAATTCCTTGTATCAGGTGTCACAGTCGCTTCCACATTGCAGACAAAGAAACCAAGACTTGGGAAGGGCTGGCAAGATGGGGATCTAGGGTCCCCTTGCTGCTCATGTAGGACACTCCTGGGCCCCAAGAAGAGCAGCCTGCCTTTGGTCAGTTTTCTCTCTCATCACAGTCGCCTCCACATTGCAGACAAAGAAACCAAGACTTGGGAAGGGCTGGCAAGATGGGGATCTAGGGTCCCCTTGCTGCTCATGTAGGACACTCCTGAGCCCCAGGAAGAGCAGCCTGCCTTTGGTCAGTTTTCTCTCTCATCTCCATCCCTCTGGCATCACTGCTCCCTGGCCAGTGTCCTGTCTCCCTCATGTCATTATTTCTCCATTGCACAAAGCACAAGGCCCCGTCAGCCCTTCTTCTGACCTGGGCCAGTGGCCACCAACCCCTTCAGAGCAGCTTAGGCAGGGGCCGATGGCCTGCTGGACTTCCAGGAGAAGTGGTGCTTCTTGGGTGGGTCATTTCTCCTCCCTTATCCAGTAGACAAAGACCCATGAGCAAACAAAACAAAACAAAACAAAAAACCTGAGAGAGACTTTGCAAGACACCAGAGGTTCAAATCAGGGGTCAGGAGTTGCTGACAACAATTTTAAATCAGGAAACTACATTCAAGGCAGCAGGAAGAGAAGGCCAAATATTGGACTTTGACAAAGGGATCACAAAAGTCTTCTTTATGTTGAAAGCTGATAATAAAAGGCAAAGGATCATGCATTTACCACATCTTTTTAGAAGGAACTGTGCAGTTCATCCTTAATGGCTGAGGAAAAATTCTCTCTTTAGAAGAACAGCTAATAAAAGAATAAATAGCCAAGCAGTGTGGTTCAGTGAATTGAGTGTCATCCCATGAATTGAGAGGTCCCAGTTAGATTCCCACTCAGGGCACATGCCCGGTTGTGGGCTCAATCCCCAGTAGGGGGCGGGCAGGAGGCAGTCAATCAAAGTTTCTCTCTCACATCGATGTTTCTATTTCTCCCTTCTTTTCTCTTTAAAAAATTAATTTAGAAAATAGCAGAAATAATGAATTAGAATGTCATCACTTTGGGACTGTTGACGAAAATAAATGAGACAAGCAAGAATCATCAAAGGCTTTTAACCACCTAGTGGAGGGTGTTGGGAAGCAGGTGTGAGGTATGGAGGCAAAGTTACCTGTGCTCCCAGTTACCAATCACCAAGGAAAAGCTGTTCAACCTCAAGATCCTACAGTCACAATTCCCCCAGCGATGGAGCCCAGCTTCTCTGACCAGTGCTATGCATGTGAAATCCACAAAGCCCTCAGGTTCCTGCCTAAAATACTAGGCCTGAAGCCAGTCGTGCCTCCCGAGCTAACATCACAACTACAGACAATACTCAGCACACAGACATACATTCAACAGCATCACAATATCCAATAAACACAGATCGGTGATATTCTATAAGATGAGTGGTGCCCTGGCCTATTTGGCTCAGCGGTGGAATGTTGGCCTACAGACCAGTGAGTCGCAGGTTTGATTCCGGCCAGGGGTACCTACCTCAGTTGCAGTTCGTCCCCAGGCTTGGTCAGGGTCCTGTGGCAGGCAACCAGTCAATGTGTCCCTCTCACCTCGATGTTTCTCTCTCTCTTCCTTTCTCTCCCTCTCTCTCCCTCCCACTCTATCTGAAGATAAATAGAAAAATATTCTCAGGTGAGGATTAACAACAACAACAAAAAGTGAGTGGCCTGGTTTCTTCAAAAAGTCAATGTCATTAAAAAAACAAACATAGACTAAAAGAGACAAGAAGACCTATAACCAAATATAATGTGTAAAACCTCTACTGAAAAAAACAAAAGTCAAAACATTTTGTAGAAATTTAATTGCGCTAGATAGCAGATGAAATTGTTCTGAACAGTCTTAGATGTGAAAGGGTATAAGTGGTTATGCAGAAAGCCTTAGGAGATGCATGCTGAAACACTTTGGAGTGAAGCATCATGAGCTTCTAAAACTAAATTTAAATGATTCCCCCAAAATCTCAGCTACTTAGAAAGCAAATATGACAAAATTTTATTAACTATTGAATCTAGGTGGCAGGTTAAGATATAATACAGGAACTTATTGTCCATACATTCAATTTTTCTAATATGTGTTTAAAATTTTTAATAATAAACATTGGGGTTAGGGTAGCCCTGAAAGGAACTCTATAAATAACTTGCTTAAACCTACTCTAGAAACCAGAGTTCTGCAAGTAGGCACCATGATAGTCCTATTGATGCCTAAAGGTCAAAAAGATCAAATGTTCTGCTCTTACTGCTCAGCAAGCCCAAGTGAAGTACCCTTGGCGACTCTTCAAGGTCACCTGCTCCCCTGACCTCCGCTTGTACCTGGTTCTCACAAGACTTCAAGCATTCCTGTGAGGGTCCCCAACAAGGCTGTGTCCTAACCTGCCACCTGCCAGCAGCCAAAATCCTGGGGCTTGACCACAAGGCCAGCAGGGCAGCTGTTCAGCCTCTGAGCCTGGACACAATCCCAACTTACTGTGCCCAGCAAGAATGGCTCCTTTGATGGCTAGCCATGGGCTAGCAGCAGGCTACAGCCCCCTAATGGCCAGGTGCTGCTGGGCAGTCAGGCTGAGGACAGAAGCCCCTCAGTCTGGGTAATGAGAGGTCCAATGCTGTGCCCCCTTCACAGTACCAGCCAGCCTGAGGAAGACCATCTAGGATGGGGCCTTAAAAGATGTGTCCTTGGGGCTGGAAACATCACAGTGACTTTGATGACCCTGAAGCAGAGATATGGGGTAGGTAAGGAGGGAGGGAGGAAGGGAGGAGGAGGTACAGCGGGAGATCTGTGGCTCTGGAGCTACATTAGGTTTGGTCATTCTAGAATACACTGGACTCCAAGGCATGGGGAATGCACTGCCCTGACATGTCCCTCTACACAGCATGACTCAAGAGTTGAAATGAGGAGACCAGCTTTCTTCTCCTTTCTCAGTTTTCAGCCAGCACCTAGACAATGCCTATGTGATATCTGCAAGGCAGGGTGCCCTTCCTGTGACCCTGTAGGCAGCAGCGGGTGCCCTCACCTGGCCTGCATGCTGAGGGGCTCTAAGGAGTATGAAATGAAAGCTCTTCAGAAATGAAAGCTCTTCAGGACAAGAGCCAGGAGTATTCCTGCCTGAGGCCTGGTGGATTCCAACACATGTTAGGTTAGGAAGAGGCTGAGGTACCTACCAACTGCACCTTAGAAAGGAGCAATGTTCCCAGCAGGTGCCCTGCTAGAGAAGACTAGTCACTTAGAAGGGGATAGAGCTGGCCTCTGGATACATGATCTTGATGGAACCTCTGAGAGCTGAGCTGACCCATACAAGTCTCTCAAGGTAGGGATGACAAAACAAAGGGACAGAGCCATCACAAAAGTTAATGTGAGAGGCCTGTTAAGAAAGGGCAGGCCACAGCTGCTGGGCTATGCTTATTTTAGTTCTTAGTTCCAAACACAAAACAAAACCAAAACACCAGCCAAAAAATAAAATATCCCCAGACTTGGCAAATCTGAACTTCCTATGTCGCCTGTTTTTTTTCCCACTGGGATGCGCATTCAGAAACCAAGCACGACCTGGCCTGATGTCTCGTAAACAGCTTGTCTATCTAGTTCCTACATTGCAGGGCCTTTCCAGTGCTCCACGCCTCCCTTCCATGGCCACCGTTCTAGGCCACCCTCCCAGATGGCACCTAGGACATTCTGGTGATTGTGACCTCAGGGACCTCATGCTGCCTAAGTGGCTAGCTACCTCTTGGGAAATGGACTTTTTGGCCAAAAGTGGCAAGTTCTCAGTTTTTTTGTTTTGTTTTGTTTTGTTTTATCCTCACCCAAGGACATTTTTCCATTTTTTGTTCAGGTAGAGTGGGAGAGAGAGAGAGAGAGAAACCTTGACGTGAAAGGGACACATCGAGTGGCTGCCACCCGCACGACCAACCAGGGTTGGGGACAAACTGCAACCGAGGTACGCGCCCTTAGCGGGAACCGAACCCAAGTCTCTCTGGACTGCAGGCCAACGCTCTAACCGTTGAGCCAAACCAGCCAAGGCGCAAGTCCTCAGTTTTTACGAGTCATCCCTGTCCAAAATATATACTAGTGGTCACTGGCTAGGAGGTGACTCCCCAGTCATCCTGGGTAAAGAGCTGTTTTGCTCCATGGAACATGATGGTATGGATTCAAGGGGTCCACCTCAGAAATTAAGGATGCACTGACTAAAATAAAGAATAATTTACAGGGAATCAATAGTAGAGTAGGTGAAGCCAAGAAGGAAACTATTTATTTGGAATATAAGGAAGCAAAAAACACCCAATCAGAACAGCAAAAAGAAAAAAGAATTTTCTAAAAATGAGAATGTGTAAGAAGCCTCTGGGACAACTTCAAGCGTACCAACATTCACATCATCGGGGTGTTGGAAGAAGAGCGATAAGAAATTGAAAACCTATTTGAAAAAATAATGACAGAAAACTTCCCTAACTTGGTAAAGGAAACAGACACACAAGTCCAGGTAGCACAGGGAATCCCAAAGAAGATAAATCCCAAGAGGCTCAACCAAGACACATCATAATTATGTTCTGTGTGTGTGTGTGTGTGTGTTTTATTGATTTTTTTAGAGAGAGACAAAGGGAGAGAGATAGAAACATCAATGTGAGAAACATCAATCGACTGCCTCCTGCACACCCCCTACTGGGGGGATTGAGCCTGCAACCTGGGCATGTGCCCTGACCAGAAATCGAACCAGAACCTCTCAGTCCATGGGACAACACTCAATCCT